GCTGGTTCTTTATGCCATTTTTAAAGGGCATTGCCCACGCGTTCTGATGACAACAAATCCTGTTGCCCAAAGCAGGGCATTGGTTAATCTGGCCGTGCTGCATAGATTGTCGTCAATGTACGCGGCACAGCCTCTCAAGGCCCTGAGCACTGCTTGTTTTATTCGAGAGGCGACTTATTATACAGTGTTAGGGGAGCTGCAGTGCCGTATGTCAGAACGTGAGAGATGTATTCAGAATAGACGGTTGACAGTGGCCCCAACCTCCTCGTCCTTCCATTGGCGCGATAAAACAGCCTCTTCGGACGAGGGTGCAAATGCACGGCCAGATTCAGACCTGAGGCATTCCAGCTTTGCAGCCGATCAACTAACAAGAGTTTCAAGGATCTTCAGCATTGACAAAACACGGGATGCCATTCGCGTGGCCCTACAGGATTCCGATCGCATTCAGTATACCAAACTGGCCTGCGAACATGAAGAACTGACAAAGGAGATGAAACGCCTGAAAGGATTTGTCGCAGAATTGGCTGAAAAATACGAGTCAGCCCGCTCACTGGACCCGGTTCGTCGATACAGAAAGCTGCAGTCAATGGCGACGACCATTGTGCTCAACTTACGCCTTACTGCACCCGACAGTGTGGATACAAATTTAACGGAGGTTGTTCGTGGCACTCTGCCACGAGGTGATGTCTTACAGAGCAGTGTCAAACAACGGGAAATGAAATTAAAACACGAGAGAGCATGCAGCAGTGAGTCATATTTGGTCGTAGTAGGTGAAGCTTGTTTAGCGTTTAATATTTGACCTAACTGTGCAATTGTTATATTAGTGTGCAAGTAGCGCATTTATTTACTAAACTGGGGGGTATTCAAAAAATGCAAGACTCATACTAAGCCTATTTTGTGTCGGTACATAGTGCAAACACGAGAGAGTTGGCTCATTGTAGGTGGGTTCTAACGGTCAAGGAAACATGCTTAACATCGGCGGCCCATTGGCGGGCTGCACCCTGGGCAAATACGTCTTATGGCGGCACATGGTTGACAAAACGTAAATCAGTCAAGCAAACGCTTGCTCGTTGCTTGGGAATATAAGGCGGCTTATCCACGGGAGCGGAGTAGTTTAAGTAACAATGTACTTATGAAATTGTGAACTTACCTCACAAACGGTTGGTCTGAGAGATATAAGTCAAAGTTCTCGTATTAATCACAAAGAATTTAAACGAAAGAGTCCTCTTGTGTAATATTCAAATAATTAAATTCAGTTCAATGTAGTGCAATCCAAATTGTTCATATAACATCTTGCTTATCAAGAATGTATTTTTGGGTTATTATAAGGAGATTCGCTAGAGAAAACGCTATAGATAGTCCGATTATATTTGTTCTGATAGTAAACAACCCCAAAACATGTAGAGGAATGGAGAAATGGTTCGTGCATTTTGCACCCTTAAATCAGTGTCAGAACTATCAGAAAACATTTTTGTTAAAAATGCGTCATTTTTTAAAAACTTATATGAATCATTTTGTCTTACTTAGATCCATGTGTAAAAGTATATGTAGAAAAAAGTCTTTATATTGTGGCGTTGAGAAGATATATACTAGTTACCTAAAAATAACAAGTTTCAATGTAAATCATCAGCTTCTGGACATATGTTAAGAGACTGCTAATATTAAAGCTTACATGCGAGTTTAAAACCAAGTGTTTTATGGTGCAGTTAAAGCACTTTTTGATATTATTTAAATCTGCCGCAGGTTGGTCCTATTAAGAAATAAAAAAAATTTTACAGCGTCATTTTGCTTGGACTAGATGCGTTTTATGTTATCTAGCATGCCTATAAAATATTTTTCTGTCCTTTTTATGATCCCTGTCAAATCTGCCTTATAAGTCAAAAGTATCTTTGCAAAATATACTTAAAAGATAAAATTTCTCTATTGATTTCATATTTGGTATGCATAAAATTATATATACGTGAAATACATGAATTAAATTTCACTTCAGACATTCTGCATAAATATGCTCAGTTCCAGATATAGATTTTGTACAAAAAGGTTTTAAGTATACTGGCCATAGTCAATGGCGCCGTTATCTAAGGTAAAATTGGAAGCGTACATGAACTTAAGTAAAATGGGATGAGAATGGATTTTTCGAATCTAATGCTAATACTAGGTGTTTAGCAGAGGCTTGCAAGATACAATATGGAGAAAACATTATTTACCCGAAAACTTGGCTAGGAATTGTGCAGTAAATCATTCAATTCTAGTCATCACGTGCATTGTTGATTCTCATACGACCAAACACCACATTCTTTAGGATTAAAATGTGACGTGAAGGACGGTTCAATTTTGGTGTCCTAGCCATAGCATACAGACGTCAAGCTAGGTTATAATAAAGAAAGGACTTCAAACCACACCCTTTCCTTGCGTGGCACTTTTCTTTTTGATGGTCAGACAGTGTTTGTTCAATGTCACACCCACCACGTATCGGAAAAAGCCATGTGGGGTCTCTAATCTTCCCTGGGTTTCCCAGTTGGCCTTCCGTGCTTTATTACTACTGGTGTCAGTTGAAGAGTTAAAAAGAAATTTTGATACAATCATTACGTGCTCTTTAGAGCCGGTTAGGAAAAGTATAAATAAAAATATTGCCAACTCCGATAAACCAAATGCGATACCGATGTTTGCAGTTCTATGCATGCAATGTGGATATAACAAGTTGATGCCCATGGGACATGCTAACAACAAATGTCAATGCCAGTTTACATAGAAAGCTTGACTATATTGATGAAATTCGTGTCTACTGCACTCAAATCCTGAAAGGATTATAATCAATAGTTTTAAGGTATAATGCGGATTAGAAAATGCCAAACGTAGCCGATAAGTAAAAAAATCTTTTGCGCATAATTTATAGAAACTATATTGACATTTACGAGGAGGACGAATGTCAATGAGAAAAACGGTTATGTATAGTCAACCAGTTTTAAAAGAGGACTAATTTTATAAGCATTTAATTCAATAAGCATTAGATATCCTGACATGCTTGAAGTATCAAAAGAATCGTGCGTACAATAATTACCTTGAGAACCCTAGTTAAATGATTTGTTTTAATTGAAGCCTACGTTTCTGAATAGCGGTTGCTGTTTCATGAGATAGGCAATCTGCTTTACCATGACCATCATTTCGACGCAAACTAGGAGGCTACGCTTAATATTTGGATATGAATCAGGGTCCTAATGCGTAAAGTATAGCACGAATAGTAGAGTTACGTTTATAATGTTAATCCCCGAACGATCAACTACCGTAGTTATTCATTCGTGTAAGAACTCCTAGCATCTTCTACCCACCGTAAATAAGGATATCGGCAATGATTATCACCGGTTGTTTAGCAAAAGAAACTAAAATTTATTATAATCTTCTAAATGTATGTCGACTTGGCAACATGCGTAATTTGAAGGCTATCTACAAATATTCTTGGCCAATTACTTATGTATTC